AAAATACCAAATCTACGGAGGCGAAGTCTGGGGCACAGTATCAATGCTTTAAGACTATTTAACTAAACATAGGCCGTATCTGAAATTTCGGTCCAACTAAAATGCAAAAGAATAAATTCCAAATAACTAACAATCAACTGTCAGTTAAGATTTACGATAACAGCATTGAACTCTTGTTCCTTGCTACATTGAATAAGTAAATCCATTCACTCTACGTTATTTCTGTATTCCTTCGCGGAATATATTCTTACTTTTTTTACAGACCACCTGCTGGACGTTTTCGAGAGTTCAAAGTTTGATTCACGTTTGCCTTTTTTTGACAAACAAAGAATGTTAATTATCAACCTGCGTATGTATTGCTACATAGGGGTATGTAACCTGGCCAAGTGCGAATTGGAAATAACTGAGTAACGAACTCGTTGGTGTAACGTTAGCCATGTATGGTTATTAACGAACGTGTCGTGGTTCCTTACCATGTCAAAATTGTTCTGATTAATTTATAATTTTTCTGCAACATGTTCCTCGTGTGGAATATAAAATGGGTCACACCGTCCACAGATGAAAAAGTCGTCGAATTAATATCCAAAGCTAAAAAAGGTCGACATCGTGATTAGATGCTATAGGCTGGAGTATATCACCTACCATCTAGGTGTACCCCATGTTTAACTGTACTTCTCTATCGATGAGAAGAAGGAGAAACCGAGAAAAATGTTTAATTTTTGAAGGCGTCCGTTGTGCATGAAAAAAGGATTTCTATACTGTCTATAGTTTACGCGAGTAGTACATACCTTTAACGGTTTAAAACGGCATTTTTTTTTTTTAAATTTTTTGGTTTTTTTTTTAAACTTCGGCCCGACGTTTCGGATGCTTTGCAGCGCCTGTCACGGGGAGACTGTTAAAAATCATTTTCAAATAAGTTTAACTAATATATCGCGTTTTAAACCGTTAAAGTGTTTTATTTAAAAGGATTCCTCTTTAAGTGTTCTAAAAATATCATGATAGTATATGTCTATCCTTTAAGATTAACTCAAGAACGACGGGACGCGGACTACGTCGGGGGTAACTGCTACAATATAATATGAAGATTTTCTAAAATACATTTCCATGCCCAAAGTAGCTAGTAGATAATTTTTTGGACTTCATCTATCGCGTTTATAGAGACCTGACAGACGGTCAACGAAGTCTCCCGTTTTTACCTTGGTTTGCGGAACCCTAAAAAAAGGGCTGTCTGACTTATTATAAGACCTTTCGATCACAGATAAAAAATAATGACAATAGAATCGCTTTAACTAGGTGTTTAAACCTTCGATTGATAGATAAGATTTTATCTATGGTTCTATCATTGGATACGGAGAATGTTCTTTTTTTTTCAAATTTAAAGGCTATTCAAAGTAATTTAAAATGTCTTTAATTATCTTATGTTTAGATTTTTGTTGGGCTGTGTTTAAAGCTATGTTTTGCTGAATCTATACTATTAATATCCTGGTCCTTGGTCTAACTCGGTCTTATGACATAACAATGTGTGAAAAGTCAATTTTAATACCTCTCAGAGTTGCTCTTGTGCAAATTCCTTCAACACATTGATAAAGTTTAAAATTGCGTTGCACGAGATGGGTGTATCTATGGGTTAAAAAATTCTACGATGACGTGTAGGACACGGTAGCTCAATTGGTTTGAGCACGAAACGCTGTGGACGCCGGTTCAAATCTCGCCCTTGTACTAGTTTTTCAATATAAGAATTTACAATAACATGTAAAAAGATTTAACTTTAGTCTCCCCGTGACCACGGCTGCTGCAAAGCATCCGAAACGTCGGACCGAAGTTAAAAATAATTTCCAAATAAGTTTAACTAATATATCGCGTTTTAAACCGTTAAAATGTTTTATTTAAAAATGTCAAATAAGTCTAACTAATATATCGCGTTTTAAACCGTTAAACCATTTAATTTCACAAAAGTAAGCTATAGAGTTTCTCACGGTATCAATCCAATAACTTATTTCTTACGACCACAAGGAACCGAATACAGATGAAATTTTAATATAATTGTCAATCAAAGGTACATTTACGCGTACAGGAGACGGGACTGAATTTATGATCACCAATTAGAAGGTATGTAAGATAAAATCCGGCCTTTTATAATTGTTGTTGGAACACGAAAAACTATGGAGCGCATTGGAAAGAGATTATCATATGTATATGATAATCGTATTCAATCTTCTTTCGTAGAATATGTATATTCTTTATAGTAGACGAGGACAGACAAGCACAGGGTTGACTTGGTCTTAGCTGAAATAACCTAGCCATAACATCGAAGCAGAATGTGATGTCGACCTATTTTCGCTTTGTTCGTTGTGAAAGTTTGTATGGAAATTCGTGGTTTTTTAAGCTAGAACAATGAAACATTCTTCTTTGGCTTTTTTTGTTTTTGGAATAGGAGTGGGAATAGGAGTGAGCGTGGGCGTGGGAGTTAGAGTAGGGGTGTGAGAGTGTTGCGGCAAAGTAGTACTTACAACATAGATTGGGTGCGATAAATGCGCAATTACATAAATTAATAAACAGCCTAAATGATTTGATGAATGATGATGATGAAAATTCTACCCCAAGTCACTATTTCAAGCGAACGAAGTCGCGGGCATAGCTAGTAGGCTATAAAACATCGCGCTGTGACTAATAGGGGTAAAGAAACAGCGGGAAACGTGTAAAAAAAATGGGGAAAATTCTTATCCTTGCGATTTCCGTTTCGTACGCTGTTAAAACGGTTCAAGATAACCAAAAAATATGTACGAAAGAATGATTACTCTTTAAAATTTAAATAGTCTTAGTAATTTTACACATACAGTGGTATGGCTATCTGTTAAGAATAACTTGCAAAAACGACGGGACGGACGACGTGGGCAACACATGTCCAAGACAACAATTCTACACGGACGAATTCGATAACACAACTAGTAAATTTATAAACTTTCATGTATAACAAACGTCATCAACATTTATGAGAAGGTAACTCCATACCACCTCTGTCCTAAGCCCGTCAACGGCTATCCTGTTTCTATCCATTTTATTTACGAAATAAAACATTTATCTAACGTTCCCCAGTCCGCGGTCGCTGTAATGACTCTATTAATATGCCACGCTGATTATTTTGGGGACATTTACAGTTTTTTCTATGAAAACATCGAATACATTAACTCGAGAACAAAAAACCGTAGAGGGCCGATGTGTTGTTTTTCTTTTTGTTTCAACTAGCTGCGCCCGCGACTGCGACTCGTCCGCGTGGAATATTCATTTTGGGTGTCAAAATTTGTTTCTGCAAACCCCCTCCTTTCTGTCTAAGTTATAGGTGTTACCAACGTCTTGGGTTCGTCCCCAACTGGGCCCAACATGATTTTAATCAATGAATAAGTTTAAATAAAACACTTTAACGGTTTAAAACGCGATATATTAGTTAAACTTATTTGAAAATGATTTTCAACTTCGGCCCGACGTTTTGGATGCTTTAAGCAGCCGTGGTCACGGGGAGAGAATGTACAACTTGCCTGAAACATGTTCAACTGTGTCTGGATATCTGGATATTAAAAGGGCGGTGATAATAACGAAATTCCAAGTTCACGAACTATCGTCCAGAGATGAAAAAGCCGTGAAGTATGTGGGTTTCCGAATATCCAAAGTCAAAATATGTCACAAGAAGATCTTGTTTAGATGTTATATTGCTGGGTATTTTACCTATCATCCAGTGAACTCCAAGCGGTGAGGTGGACAAAATGGTGGATACAATCGAAAACTTTGACGAAGCAACATAGTATCGCTTCTATACCAAAGATATAAACGCGTTTGACGCTCCAATAGTATGTGGAAATATTACGAAAATTTGCTGCATAAATTGTCATGGAAGCGATCCGAAATCCTTTTTCCTAGAGCACGAGGCAGATACACATCTGTGTCCTTTTCTCAGATCGATTGTATCGCAAGGAAGTAATTGTTTGGACATCTGTATCCGGCTACTACATATTATATTTCTTAACATTTAAACAAAGAGCTTCTTGGTCGTGCATTGGGTACACATTAATAACATCTATACTAATATATAAAGCTGAATAGTTTGTTTGTTTAAAGGCGCTAATCTCGGGAACTACGTGTTCGAAATGAAAAATTATTCTTTTGTGTTGGTTAGAGCATTTATCGAGGAAGGCTATATGTTATAAAACATTTTCGCTATGTCACTAATAAAAACGAAGATACAGCGGGAAATGTGATCTAAAAAAAAGTCCCACGGTATGTCTATCTTTTAAGATTAACTTGCAAGAACAACGGGGACGCGAACGACGTCGTGAGTAACAGTTTAAAACGAATTTGAATGACCGTAATAAATATTGTTAGCGGACGAAGTCGCTGCAACAGCTAGTACAGGCCGCATAGATTAGAGAAAAGAAAGAAAAATACATATGTTGCTATAAACTTTAAACTTAACGGTTCAGAACGCGAATTATAATTTTTGTCATAGGTGCGTAGAGCAGCTTTTAAAGCGGGTATAAAATGTTTTATTTAATCTATGTCACTTGCGTAAACTACGAACATAAATATATATAAAGAAACAAAAAAAAACATCCTTAGAAATGTTACAATCTATGTTAAATTTAACGGTTTAAAACACTAACACGTGAATAAAGCAGCGTTTGAAGCAGTTATATAGTGTTTCATTTAAGGTGCACCAGTCGCGTAAACTACAAACAACACATAGGTACGTACATATATACCAAATAAACATTCAAAAACACGCAACCTTTACCAAAAATTATTACAATCATCACAAAACGGGGGTAATTTCTTCATCTCTGTGGGTTTCTGAAGATGTAGAGGTTTGCAAAAACAAATTTAGATGCCCAAAGCAACTACGATGCGGGCGATATCGCTGTCATAGCTAGTCTTTTATATACATATAGTGTAACTTTAACAGGAATAAAACAACCAGGATCGTGCAGAGTATTAAGGGCGATACAAACCTCTCGTCGCAACGACAGTGCATCAAAGTGTTAACCCTCCAATTGTACAGCCCATACTTCTTCTCCATCCCACCGATCCAGAAGGGGCATCTCAAATCGTGGATCCTACAGCACCTGTCCGTTCGCGTATAACCCCCCAATTGGGAATAATGCGTCGCCGAGAACCCCTTACCACACCATTTGGTGCCGGGGACACGTAAGATGTCCATTGCGTCGCGTTTTTTTCTGTTGGCGTTTGTGGGTTGAGTATTTTTTTGTCGATACACCGAAGTGTACCGGCATTTATCTCTTCCGCATCTTGTCTCAAATTGTATTAGTGTGAGAGAAGGGAATGTGTTGATGTGTGTGTGGATTGTGGTGTGTGTGGAATGTGTGAAGAGTTGAATGAGGCAAATTGGATCATCATGTCATACATTGGATTAGATCGTATATTAAGATATCACTTCACAATTTCTTTCCCTTTTGTAAGACATGGTGGCAAACATATTTTTGTGTCCGTTTCACCAATTTTATTTCACAGGCAAGTTCTTGATCTAACTAAGTAGATTATAAGGAATTAAACTGTTAACCATATAATTAGTTAGAGAGTTTTTGTTTTTTGCGTGTTAATTGTTCGTATGTAAACTAAAGTTTTTTATATGTTATTGTTGTGTTGTTTATAATGCATCATTTTTTGTATAATTTTTGATTATTAAATGATTTATTAAATACTGTCTATAGTTTACGCGAGTAGTACACATTTAAATAAAACACTTAAACGGTTTAAAACGCGATATATTCTCCCCGTGACCACGGCTGCTGCAAAGCATCCGAAACGTGGGGCCGAAGTAAAAAATAATTTCCAAAAAGTTTAACCAATATATCGCGTTTTAAACCGTTAAAGTGTTTTATTTAAAAACGATTTATTGCTATATTTATAACATTGATATTAGATAATTGAATCTACTTACTTCAAATAAAGATTGTTTTTTGTAAATCCGCAACATTATTTAGTAATATGTACGTCATGTAACACAGCTATTGTGAACTGTTATTATGACGTACATTCACATTCATAATTTGATTCGACCTTATAAAATAACTTACGTAGAAAAAAGCTACAAAATTAAATAAAAATTTGACACTTCAAAACGCGACATATATTAGTTAAATTTATATGAAAAATAATTTTTATCTTCGGCCCGACGTGTCGGGTACTTTGCAGCACGGTCACGGTGAGACGTCGGGGGAATGCTAAAAATAATTTTCAAATACGTTTAACTAATATATATAGCGTTTTAAACCGTTATGGTTTTTATTTGAATGTGTAATACTCCCGTAAGCCACAGACAGTATTTAAGGCTACACATATAGATTAATTGTGAATTATTATGTTTATTTGGTAAAATTGACAACCCTAGCTCCCTAAAGACTAAGTAATCCGATTGAAGGAGGTGCAATAAAGCACTAAAAGTTAACTTTACAACATTCTCGACAATTTACAATGTCCTTTTATATCTCTGTTGATGTTGGATTTTCAAGTTTTTTTAGTCTAATCTATCTTAGGTAGCTGCGTAGTCTGCTGTCAGGAGGATTTTAGGAGCATCGTATCGATAATTTACCTAACAGAAGATGTAATTCAGGTACGGATAGAAAAACTCTTTAAAATTTGAAATGGTTGTTCGCCTGTATGAAGTCTTTATTTATAATTTTTTGCACATTTTTAAAATGCCTACTAGTAATAGATGCTTTTATTTAGTATCCAACGTTTAACTAAATTTGCGTAATAGACATGTTTATGCTTTGTACACGAAGCTAATTGTGTTGCCGAACTTAACCCAACCACGCTCAAAAGCGGACAAAATGGTGCAAACCCAAGCCCAAAATCACACTTTGTATACAAAAATATACAGACTATACAAACTCCAAACCCATAGACAAACTCCCCACCATCCCACACCGGTGAAACCATAAATTAAAGAACAAACCTCCTATCACATTTGCAGTGTGAAATCGTATACGGTCTAAAGTTGAACAAGCCGAATCTTCTCTTAAAAGCTCCTATGTTGACCCGACAATTATCGTGGGCCCTACAGCACCTGTCCTCGTTCCTATCCTCGCCCAATTCGTTGTAGGTCTTGGCCAATTGGCCAGCGCCGCACCATTTTGTCCCGGGCATAATGAAATTCTCCCTGAATGAACGCCGTGACCTGTCATCCGGTGTCTATGGTTAAAATGGCGGATATCGTGCGATGACAATGAAGATGAAATATTGATTGATGATAATTACGCCCGATTTTAATTCATGCCAAATAATCGACTAATACAATTTAAAATAAGCCCTTCTTATGCAAATATTCTATATCGGGTTCTTCATGAATCTTAAAAATGTTCCCAGTTAATTATAGCCGGCAGAAAAGAATAACATAAGTGAGAGACATGCTGTCGATTGTAATAAAGACCATATGGTTTATATAATACGAAAAGAAATTTATGTATGGATGATAAAAGTATGTTTCGAAATAGTCTAAACATGCGTGTTGCCATAAAAAAACCCCTATCGACTAAACAGGCTTGCAATGTTGCATGGTTTTTGTTAGTAGTTGTAGTGTTGCTATCTATTTAAATATTTAATATCTAAATGAATAATGTGGATCGATGATTTCGTGTAAAGGACAGATGACGTTTTTTAACTCAAGATAGTGAGTGTAGGTATTGTTTTATAAATACTTTCAATAAGCATATATATCATAGAATATGATAGAGATATATGTGTCAGTTGAAATACAGTTTGAGACATAAGTTTGATAGTCTGTGATATGCAGATGTAATAGTTTAGTCACAAAATGCGGAAGAGATCAATGCGATTAGCGAAACTGGAAACATGTTACCTCGCAACTGAATTTGTACTAGCGTATTTATTTTTATTCTCCATCATATATTTCAGTTCTTCGTGCCGCTCGAAACATTCAATTTTTAAGCTGTCGTAATCTAGCCACGACGCGACCTCCGGCGGCAACATCTCGCCATCTGTCAAAAGGCGAAACGTCATGTTGCCGAAATGGCGGTAAAACCGTTCGTCTTCCGTTGCGTTTTTTCTTTTCTCCGTTATCCTGAAGGCTTCTTCGTCGAGCGCTAATTTTAACTCTCTCCGTAGCGTTTTTAGGAAGTTTCTCGTTTGCTTTGCGTCTGTTATGTATTCGCAGTCTTGTATATCGCCATTTGGGGAATATATTATTTGTATAAGGTGGCTACCATCTGTCATCTGCCGGAGTTTTAAGCCTGGGTTCCTGTAACAAAAATAAATATTAGCTCATGTTTTAATTAAATCTATACTAATATATAAAGCTAAAGACTTTGTTTGTTTGTATGTTTGAACGCGCTAATCTCAGGCACCACTGGTTCGAATTGAATGTTTTGAATCAGTAGTGCCTCAATAAATGCTCTTACCAACACAATTATTTTGTGTTGGTTAGAGCATTTATTGAGGAAGGCTATAGGCTATAAAACATCGCCCTGTGACTAATACAAGCGAAGATACAGCGAGAAATGTGAAAAAGATTGGGAAAATTACTCATCAATATGGGTTTCCGAGGCGTAAACTGCTGCGAAAACGGTTCCAAATACCAAAAACATATGTATGAAAGAATGATACCTCTTTAAATGATCTAAAGAAAATCTTCTCTATCTTTCTTCTTTTAAGATTAACAGCTTAAGTTTTGAAGATGAAGGGGTTTGCAAAAACGAATTCGAATGCCCAAAATAACGATTATCACGGACGAAGTCGCGCGACACGGCTATGTTTTTTATAAATTTGATGTGCATTCAAAATTTTAATTGCGCAATTCAACTTGAATTTATAAAGAAACAAAAAAGGAAATAAGTCTTTATGAATGTTTTGTTTGATGTCTTTATTAAAATTGGAGGCACGCCCGTATCGTGTTACCTTACGAAGAATTACCAACCTAATTCTTTATTACAACATACATATATAGAGAAAAGAGATAATCCTTACAGCTAGTAATGAGAAGGTAAACCGCTTCGTTATGTAACGTATTTAATGTTAGGTAATCAAAGTTAGTTTTAGTTAACTTATTTATAATGTTACTTTTGTTAGCGTCCCGATGTGTACATGAAATTAGTTTAGTAATGTTTGTGAACGGAAAATCGATGTAACGTCAAGTAAATAAATAAAACCGAGAACTTTTTAATTTTTGTAGACTATCTATATTAATACTAGCAACACTTTGAATAAGAAATCGTATCCGAAACTCTGTTACAAAAACGTCCCGTTATCCACCAAGGGTCGTGAATTCGATTTCGGATAAGTATTATAAATTCTGTCAGCATTAAATCGATCAGCGGGACGGACACGGAAATGTGTCTGCTCCGGGCACGAAAACGCATGGAATTTGCCTTTTTAGTGAGCAAGACTTAATATTATATTCTATTATATGAGGCCGCTAGAGCCAGAGTAGCCTAACTCGTTTTGTATGACTTGTGTCATTTATATTGTGTTAATCTGCAAGAGCACAGTGACCGAAAATTGTTAACACAGTTATTACACAAATAGTACAAATTCATTTTCGCCTAATTTAATTGCGCATTTTTATTTTCCTTACTGAAAATCATGTTTCTTGTTATTAGGCTACTCTGGCTCTAGCGCATTATAATCTATAGGTCTTAATAAAATAATCAATTCGTTATAACCTTAAATTTGACATCCCCTTGCCATAAAATCTTTATTAAATAACACTTAATAGACAGAAGATGATTTAATTCAGTAACACAAAGTGCATGTATCAATAAAATGCACCCTTAATACTCCAGTTGGTTAGTTATGGAGCGCAATATTCAAGAGGGAGGCGAGAAAACGTTTCGTTGTTTGTGCGCGAGAGGTGCATGAATCAAGAGGTCAAAAAAATTACGACGATGACGTGTAGGACACGGTAGCTCAATTGGTGGCAAGGCACGCTGTGGACGCCGAGGGGTATTTGTAACAAAAAGCTGGCCAAAAGTCGAAATCAAATTTGTACCCAATTAGTAAATGAACCTTCATTTCTCATTGTTGAATAGTTATGACGTCACGCCCCGATCACCTTACAAGTGTCATTCAATTTTGTTTGCCCCTCCGACAATCGTTAGTCGTTCAAGTCCTGGCCGAGTCGTAATTTTTTTCAATTTTTAATGTATACAGTTTCGTTAGTTACAAAGTTGTCAAGAATGTATTATAATCAAAACTTATTTTATTTAGAGTATAATGTAAAGAAAATATTTCAGCAAGTAGTAACAGTGTTTAATATAAATGTAGAAGCATGTTTAAGTCACCTGACAGCTCGGGTCTTGCTAATATTTATTTTTTAGGGTTTCGTACCGAATAAAAGATGACAATATGGCATGATAATACAATATGTATTAGAAGAACTGCAATAGCGAGAAAGTTATTATGTAAGTACTGTCTGCAGTTTACGCAAGACACTTTAACGGTTTAAAACGCGATATATATATACTATGTTTCCTCGTGACCACAACTGCTGGAAAGCATGCGAAACAATTTTCAAACAAGGTTTACTGATATATATCGCGTTTTAAACCATGTTTTATTTAGAGTTAATAATTTCGTTTAAATGATGTATGTCTTGTGTTTATGACGACAAATAACTAAAACATGAAATTATTGTTTAGAGACACTACAACGACGATACAAGAAACACGAATTTTTGGTCTTTTTTTTTTAATATAAATAGTGGCAATACTGTGGTTACTTAGAATATTTACAAAATATTTAGAATATTTAAAAAAATATTTTTTTACTTGTATATAATAAGAATAATGATTTAAATCGATATTAATTCAGGTACAACAAGCCAACTTGTTAAAATGCAATTTATATCTCTGTATTGCATAAAGCCGTCCACTAATATAAAGCGACCCTCTAAATAACTTTGATGTCCCCAAATAAAGTTATTTCTTAATTCTTGTAACTCAACACTAATTTCGATGGGGTACATAACATTCGCTTCGATGTCTTTTAATGTTATCTCATAAAATAAACATAATAATACAGTGTTGAGTCGATCTCGGTTTGTCCCCTATATGGGACAGGGACAAAACAAAGGGCTGAGATGTTTCTGTGTCTGTTTTCTAGTCTAAGTATGAACTGGCAGATTAACCAGAAAAACTATGATTCGGTAACGGTGATATCGGTAACCTTCAATTAAATAAAACACTTTAACGGTTTAAAACGCGATATATATTACTTAATTTTTTTTAACTACAGCCCGCATGGATGCTTTGCGGCAGTCGTGGTCTCCCCGTTGTTATATTTAAATGTGTACTACTCGCGTAAACAGCAGTATACATACAGACGGTAATTAATTTCAAATCACTACATAGTATAAAACAAAGTCGATTTTTCTATGTGAAAAAAGTAATCTTTAAAACTACGCAACGGATTTTTTAAGAGATAGAGTCATTAAAGAGAAAGGTAATTTATACACAATATTTGCAATTCTCCTGTAGTTTATGTAGTATCAGCACGCGAGTGAAGCCGTGGCGGGTCGCTAGTTAATTAATAAACGGAATAAACAAACCGGTAATTATTACCAAGCACTATAGTGGGGTGGGGGGGGTCTGTGTTTTGCTTATTTTTGATGACATGGGGGGTAGGGGAGTCCAGATGATGATTACGTCATCGATATTTATTTACTTTTTTTACACGACTGGCAACCACCACATTTTTAATTGAAAAATGTTTACGTAAGCACGGGGGGAGGGGGTAAAAGCTTTGCTTACTTTTGCTGACAAGGGGGATGGGGGGGTAAATAATTGTAATAAATCTGCTTACGTAATACTTGAACGGCCCCCTGGACACAAAAGAATCAATTAACAATTCTCAGCCTGAATACATTTATTACACAACGGACACAAATAAATGTCTGAATAACGTAATGGAATTATAATATTTCTATTAAGTAATAACAACACCGTCAAAGTCTGAAAAACAATGACAGTGCAACCAAAAATTTTCAAAAACTACTGAACCGATTTACAATGTACCAGTAAATTTGTCCTATTATATTTATCGCAGAAAACTTCGTAACCGCGATTCAGCGGGTCAACACGCCATCTCTTAGCCGCCGTGTAAAACAACAAACTAATTCGCCAAGAAGTTTTTAATACTTTTGAATACATTTAAACTTGTTTTGTCTGCTTAGACACGTTTTATTATTAGCAATAAAGTAACATATTTAATAATTATTTGTTATAAAATTTTGGATTACAGACTATATTAGTCTGTTATATGTAAAATTTATCTTTTTAACCATTAACATAATAATGTGTTGTATAATTTTTAAATATCTACTATCTATGTAGATATGTATTAATTGTATGATTTTAAAATAAAGAGTTTAATATTCTTGGATTTGATTTTATTTAAATATATGATTTCAAAATGGCGTATATTATGTTGTTTGGTAGTTTTAAATCACACGCAAAATTTAAGTACAGGAGAAGTTTAAGTATGTTTTATTTTAAAGTGTAACTTCTAAATGTTTATCGATTCATTCAAATAACTTAACGCCATAACTGATTAACGATATTTTTTACGTAAGGTCCCGATAAACGAGTGTAAATTTACTCGAGCCTTATTCTGGACATATTTTTTGTATTCTATAGAAAGACATCGGGTTCACACCCGATGGCCGGTGGAATATCCCAGCCTTTTAAGATCTAGTACACTCGAAAATCTAATTAGTAAAATAATTCATAATTAAGTAATTCCAAATATACCTACAAAATTTTATAAGGTTTGACAATTTACGCTACAGATAAGTCTGATATTTTCGACAATTACACGTACAATATACATCGTTGTGAAAAAAATTTATAAGCAGCCATTCTCCTAAACTGTCTGAGACTCAATTTTCTTTGTTTAGGAACGGAAAACATCTAATTACGACGTGGATTACTCGTAATAACGCCGAGAATAATCAATTACGACGGTTTTAAACTTAACAGCATCGTATAAACAAAGAATTAAAAATAAGGGAATACAACATCGTGAAACTCCTCTAAGCCTTGAAGTACGAAGTTACTAAACAATTCCGTCCACAATCGGCCAGCGGTAACTGTAATAAAGATCAGACGGGATTGCGGCGGGTCTCTGAATACAATCGGGTGCAAATAATTCATTTGCTTAAAGTAACACTTATTTAATACCTATGTATGCAAATTGCAACATAATTAAGCATTCACAATTTACAAGTACACATTTTAACAGTTTAAA